TATTATATTCTAATATGTACATAGCTATATTATATTATTTATTACTAAAAACAAATATATTACTTACCAGGCCCAGTTCGGGGATGGGGATAATAATACCATCCCCGGTCCGTCCCCAACCGGGGATTTTTAAAATTCAGGATTCCCGTACCCGCCCTAATTTTCCCACCCAACCCTAACAGGGATTTATGTTATCTCGAACACTTTGGCACAACATGGGCTCAAGGAACAAAACCTTATCGTTTGGGTACATGTCGAGCCATCATGGCTCTTTCACCTTCTTGCTATGGATAGGAGGGCGTTTTAGGATATGTATTTTTTAGCTGGTTGTGATGCAATGGTACTTTTTTTTCTTGACCAATTTCTTGTTAAACCAACACTACAAGGGGAAAAACATACACATATAACTAACTAATGGTGTCAGATTGAAAATCGCTTAGTTGTAGTGTAAATAGATCGATGTCAAAACTCTTATGTATAGAGATGCTTGTGTAAATCTTGCCCTCTAAAACTTTGGCTGTACTAGTTACTTTTTTGCTTAATAATATACTAGCCCCTTGGCACATGCGAATTGATTTTCTTTTTTAATTTTAATTTTTAGAATTAAAAAAAGATAACATAAGTAATTATGTTCCATAAAAGTAAGACCTATTATCTGATTTTGTTTTTAATTTTAATTTTTTTTAATATTTAAAAAAATGTGAATTTACCATATTATCCTCATTTAATTAATAATTTCAATTCTTAATGTTTGAATTAACTAAGGGTATTTTCTGATATTTTGAATGTTTCACCATTCTCTGCTTTTTGCTTTATATATATAGATGATCACTTTTCTGTTTTTTTTATTAAAAAAAGCAAAGAAAATTAAATAAAAAAAGGAGTAATAATCATAATCCTAAATCAATTTCCCTTTCTAGACCCCTTTCCGAAAAAGAAATTAATTGGACTATTTGTATAACCTATAGAGACCCTTGTGAGAGGGGGAGAAGGACAGACATAAAACGTTGAGTTTTGAAAAGCTAATGCTTAGCCTCCATAAACAGTATCAACAATTTAACATCTTCCTTCTAATGCTGGCTCAGACCCAACTTCCAAATGGGCATCATTGTCCCTAATCAAATTACATTTGGGTTTCACTTCCTTTTGGTGAAGCACGAGAGCCTCCAAGAATGGCAGACCAAGAAGCTGCCCCAAGGGCATAGGCTTCGGCATCATTACAACATTGGCTGCCGCCACCGGTGAGTATGACAATGACTCGGAAACCATTGGAACCGCACGGGAGATATCCGTTACCGGCAGTAGGCAATTGGCAAGCAGTGCATTTCCGGTTGCAGTGAAATAGTTGCCCCAGTAGTACTGTGGTGGAGGAATGCTATCGACCGAATCAAGATCGATCTCGAAAAGATCGTCTTCGTCTTCCGTGTCTGCTACACCTTTACACAGTCCTGCTGTTGCATGTTCTGCAGAAGCAGAACCTCCAAGGAGAGAAGCCATGGTGTGGTTTTTTTTTAAGTTTCATAGATATGATTTTATACTTACATATATTATGTTAATATTTTGGTGTTTGGTGGTGAGGTTGGAGTTCAGGTGGTGAAGTTGGAGTTCAGGTGGTAAGTAGAACGCCCTTCAACAAATCTACAACGACAATAGAAGAAAGTGGAGGTTGGTCTTTTAAAGCAGCACGTCCCAAAGTCAAATCCCACGTATGGCTGATTTTCTTTTCGTACATAATTTTTCCCACTCTAAACCCACTCTACAAAAGGAAAAGAAAAATACAGAGCAGATATTTTAAATTACCAAATCAAAATTAAAATTTCACTGATCAAAGACGGAATTGGATCAGCCCAAAAATTCAAGGCAGAGATCCTGCATCACCATATACAATACAGTAAATGGAAGTCAGATTTTGTGTTTGTTTGGATGACCAGTTTCTTAACAGAACAAAGGGTATCTTATGTTAAATCTAGCAAAGCTCAAAACCAATCTTGATAAGGAACTGTTGATTCAATATCTACCAAAACCACTAAAGTTTGCGCAGTAGACGACCTAACTACCTCAACAGAACAGAAGATATTCCACAGTTTCTCTAATATATAAAAAATGGAGCAACATCAGTTAGAGATTCATAAGTCAAAATCAACCTATCCTAAAACAGAAGACTCCAGCGTTGCCCAATTGGGGAAGCCAACAACACATTACTCTGCATTTAAACCTTTTAAGTTCAACAACCAAAAGCTATAACAAATAACTCTCCGAAGTTAACAATGCGACAAAACCAAATCCTTCGAGTTTGGACACAGATGCGTTATAATATGTAAAGTTCATATATACTGATGCCTTATTTACAGATATCTTCAGTAATTTCTCTCTTTTCTGCATCTTGAAAACTTATATATGAAAGCTTTGGGTTTTATAACATGGTTTCCAACCAGACAATGCTACACTTCCTGATATTTCTTTCTCAACTAACAATGGCATTGTCCGATTGGGTTCTATAACATGGTTGGTTTTTCATTGCAAGCTGCAGTATGCACATCAAATGAAACATGGGTTGGGAAACAAAAGTTAGGGGAAAATGTTGGGCTATTAAGCATATTCCTTTACAAAAACCGAACCATAAAGAAATGCGAGGATCCTTCATTGCATGACTCTAGCCAAAATCTACTGCAGTATTTAATAGAAGGCCCACTAAAACTTCCCAGATAGCACAGTTTAAAAGCATCATAAGGAAGAATTACCCTATAACCTACAGCTCTGTTAACCTAACAGCAAAGTTATTATCATTTGGGGCTTTCACTTTTGCACCTAACAAATAAGATGAGCCTTAGATGACTATATTTCTGACAAATAAGCCAGGCCATTCTTTTACCATTTGATGCAGGCAGAGCTTTGCGTGTCTAGTCTGTACACCATCACACTAGGAAGTTGATTCACCCCAATCTCATGCTTGTGTTTTGTCATTGAGGCTTAGGCAAAATGTTGAACTACTAAAACAGAAACTCAGAAAGAACCCCAGATACAAACCTTTTTAATCCTTGTTTGTTTGCAAATATAGCCGAGCAAATCCTAGGCTACAAAGAGGCTAGATGACAGAGCAACCGATATTGGACGTGAGCAAAATGAATCACCTAATTCATTTACTTAGAGCACAATTAATCAAAACAACAACTACAAAGCAACATAATTGAGAAGATACCCAAATCCATTTCTAATAACCAAGTAAGTTGGGCCAAAAAACCAAATTCATTTCATCGTGATATCTCCATTTTCTACATTATCCCAACATACATTCTGAATGCTTCCAATCACAACATCACATATATCTAAATCCACAGCTACAGAGATGTTCAAGACATTCACTATCAACCAACCACCAAAAATTTGCAGAGTGTAAATCAATTGTTTCACAACCAATGCACTAAAATATCACAAGAAGCGAAAACAGAGTGTAAATCAAGAAACAAGCATACGCTATCAACCCGCGATGCTCATCACCACCGTCAGCAAGCGCAACCATGAGCCCCGTGCACACCCTCGTGGCCCACAACACAAAGACGGCAGCCACGGCAATCCTGAAGCTCCCGCCTTGGGGGACGAAGAGCGAGGCGGCCGATAAGATCACCACGGGCAGCATACAATACCCAATCACGGACGTACACCTGTGCAGGTCGAGATTGCCGTTACGCCCAGCCAACATGTTGAAGACGATGTAGAGGAAAATGGAAGAGACGACGATCCATCCGAGGATGACGCCGAACTGGATTTTTCCCGCGAGGAGTTGGAAGAGGCAGAGAGACATGTAAAGGAGGATCGGGCCGGAGAGGTCTGAGTCCTTGTGGACTGCCGGGTTGGAGCGGAACGGGTTGAGAATAGACTTGGTTTTTCTCCAGATTTGGTCAGGGTGGATGCCGAGCTCGTCGAGGAGGGGCTCTTCGTCCTCGAAGGAGGCGGAGCCGCCAGGGATGGAGGAGGAGCCGATCGGGCCTCCGAAGAGGGAGGAGGAGGAGGAGGCGGCTGCGGCGGAGCCGATGTCGAAGGACATGAAGGGGATCGAGGAGGTGGAGGAGCGCGGGGGTTGAAATGGCGCCGTCGCGACGCGGCGTTGCTGGATGTTGTTGGATCCGACGGCGCTAGGGTTCCCGCCGGAGGGGAACACCACCGGAGGTACCGCGAAGTCCTTCGTCATTTTGGGATCTGCAGATTTGGGGATTTTGGGGGTGGGATTGATTAGGGTTTTGAGAATTGGGGGATAGAGAGAGAAAGGTGGGGACGAAGGAGTGGGAGTTTTCGAGCGAGGTGAAGAGATCAGTTATTACGCAGCAAAGCGGTTTGTATTTGGGAAGGGACTAAGGGTATTTCTGACCTTTTCATTGTGAAGTTCGGTTTATTGGTGGTGAGCTTCACCGCGCGGCACTGGCCAGGTGACGATTTTAGTGTTTGATATTACTTTCTTGGCCTTCAACTATTTTGTATGAAACTTTCTTGCTCTTTAAGTCTTGAGTTATTGGGAAAAGAGTCTCTCGAGGTAACTGAAATTACAAAAAATGTTCCATCCATAGTTGGAGCCCATCCAGGACCACCTCGTGGTTCAGACCAAAAAAAAAAAAAATTACAAAAAATGTTCTAATTCTAAAATAATACACTCCTTTGTCTTCAAACCCACATTCTAAGTACCTCTACCACTAAAATTAAATTAAAATATTTACCCAATTAAATTTTAAGGAAGACATCGAAAAATATTGCGGGTAACAAGTTAACATACGTTACATTTTTCTAAAGCAAACTAATGGAGTGAAGTTGTAGGTCTAAATCAAGATTTAATGGCATTTGGATTTTGACATTGCAGCAGCCTCCATGTTTCCTAATTTTGTGGACTTTGACATTACAATCTCTATGGTCGACACCACATCGATACCTCTTAATTTTGACAACCTATTTTTTTTGTTATGTAAAAAACCCATCACAGATATCACTTATCAAACCTTGTAAAAGATATGAAGGTCTTATTAGGGAAAAATAAGATGTGTACATAAATATTTGTCCTATGAATAAAATTGACAATGAAAGATAGGGGAAACGAAGCTTATTGGTGACCCATAGGGCCCATAGAGGATCATTGCTTTGGGCTTTGCTTGACAAGAAAGCAGCATAAACAAAAGGAAATGGAAGAAATTCCAAGTAGTCCCCTCCCCTCCGAGCAGTCAACTAAAAAAAACCAGAAAAACCTCGAAAATCAATCTCAATGATAAACAACAGTGAGTGGAAGTCTCTCTCTCAACTCAAAATGGACGGCGGCGGCATTTCGAAGGCAGTGGCGGTGGTGGCTTGCGCCGCCATGGCGTTGTTCTACGTTGCAATTCTCTATGCCCCGACTCTAATCCTTCGTCTTCCTCCTCCCCCTTCCTTCAAGAACTTCATGATCCGACGGTTCATATGCGCCGCTATTTCTTCCGTCGTCTCCGTTTTCGTCTCTGCTCTTCTCCTCCCTGTAAGCTCCACTTCTTCCCTACCTCATTTTCGCTTTAATTTCTCATCGTCAACTGATCCAGTATGGATCTTCAACTTCTTTGATTGTTGGGTTTGAACAATGGCTGCCCAGCTCTGTAACTAAGCTCCTCTGTAATAGAATTTAGCTTAAGGTTATGATTGGATTTCTTGCGTTTCGACAACTTTGACTGTGATATGAAATTTTTGAAATTGTTACTCTTCCTTGTTTGCTTATTTATTTTCTGTTACTGGGTACAATTATATGTAGACCATTAGCAATTTTGTTATGGGTTTTGATCAGAATAGCTCACTTTGTTCACATTTTTGAATAATGTCAGATGAAAAGCAGAGAGGCATCATCTCTATTAGGTGTATACGGCATCCGAATGGACCATATTGTGAGTATTATTATGCCAAGATACAATCTTGATCTTGTTGGCTATGTTTCTTTCTCTTTAATACGTTTTAATGCTTACCTGAAAAAAGCAGCCGTTCTTCTCTCTGTGGTAATCTGGAATTTAAATTCGTGTATGATATGCAGATTTGGAACGGTCAATGCTTGCTAAAATTTGCATGCTGAATTGCAATTTTATGTATGAAACAGTGGCAAGCTGTGATCTTTCCTCTTACATTGACTGCTCTTATGTACGGTGGATCCTTGGTCCTCAAGTCTCTATTATTGATGAGTGCGTTGAGGGAACACATGAATTTTGGTGGAGGCCTTTCGTTCAACAATATCAAAAGTTTCTCCGAAGAGATTGTTGCCTGTTCGTGTTCAATAGCTTCTGATGTTTTGGTTTGGCGTACTTATGTTGTGGTTAGTGGCCTTGTATTATTTCGTGGTGAACTAGTTTATTTATTTATGTACACTTTATAATGAATATATTTGATGTCAACTTTTCCTGCTTTGTAAGTGAGATTATCATGCAATGGAGATATAGAGTCTTTGGCTTCAGTTGGTTGAAACATAAAGCCTGGCATCACTTCATTGACAGTATGTTTTTAACAGGCCCCGCTTACTGAAGAGTTGGTGTTTAGAGCATGTATGTTACCTTTACTTCTCTGCGGAGGATTCCAAAAGTCCACAGTCATCTTTCTCTGCCCCATTTTCTTCAGCTTGGGTAAGTTAAACAAATGTCACTTCTTGCAGATATTAAATGTCTATCATCATCAAGGTTGGTAATTAAGCAGGATTTCTTATAATTTCCTGCGGTCTGGTGATTGTGTATTAATTGTTGATAACATTTATGCCTGATGAATTTTTAAGTTTTGGATGCTGTTCATGAGCAAAGTATCATGCTTACTGTTTGTGTCTGTTGAAATTCATGCATGTGCTTATATGGTCTAACCATAAATTCTTTATAATTGCTCTGGATTAAATTCTAAATACCCGTGATGATTCACCCTCAACTGAAAAATGACAAACCAGTTTGTCTTCTGGTTACTTTTGCTGTCTCTGAAATTCCCAAGTTTTTGCAGCATAATCACTTCAAGTTTTCCTTTGTATGCTTATATAAATACCCATTATGACATTTCCACTTAAAATAGAATAATTTTCTTTCATATGTCACATTAAGTGACTGAACTTGGAGAGAAATCATTCTTATTGTGCATGATTATTTTTTGCAGCACATTTAAACCATCTAAAGGACGTCTATAGCAAGCAAAACTACAACTTGACCAAAGCCTTCCTGGCTATAGGTATTCTCAACTTTTCTATCCTTGCATTTGGATGGACACAAAGATTTCAGCCTAGAAAATGGGTAGCACTATGCAGTTGCATTATAGAATCCCCTCTTCCTCCTCTCCTTCAGTAACTTAACCTGTGGTATTTTCAGTTCTGGAGTTTCTGGGATCACTTACATTTTAAAATTGTATGATTTTCAATATGATACTCAATTTATGGAAGATAATTTTGTCAGGTCTCCAGCTTGGCTATACCGTGGTCTTTGGCTCCTATGCATCTTTTCTCTTCATTCAAACTGGTAAGTGATTGTTGACACTTTGCCACATTATTGTGTTATTTTGTCGCTCGTCCTTGACAATAGGATTTTGTGTTATATGCATTTCAAAACAGTACATTATATGGTGTGTATGGGCAGCCTTTTCATTTCCTCTTTTTCCCATGAGATACGTTTCTATGTCGTTGATATGTGTCATATTTATTTCATGCAGGACATTTTCTTGCTCCTTTAGTTGCTCACGCATTCTGCAATTTTATGGGACTGCCTGTGCTAGTTTCACGGGGAAAAGGTACGCAAGTAAAGTTTCTTAACCAAATGCCTACCTACTAACCAAAAAATGCATACCTGAGAAACCAAAGAATGCACATGTAAACAGTATTATTTGTGATTTTGTGTCTCACATATGTTTGATCATACTCCAGAAACTTGCACAAGTGCTGTAAGTTATTAACGAGTGTAGATCCGTACTACTTTTTTTTTCTTCTTTTCACCATCATGAATCTATTTCATGAAACTTGGGTGTCTGCACATAAATAGTGAAGGGATAATTTTAGATTCTTTTATCTTTTATTTTCCAACATGGAAAGTCAATCGTGCAAATGGAGACGGGAAGGAACCTTAAGGATTGTAAGAAACCACAATAAAATGATCCATTCAAATGAAAAGAAGAAATAGGAAAGTTATAACTCTATCTTTGGGCTTAGGTTCAATGCTGCTCGCAGTAGAACGGGACATAATGTTAGGTGCCCCATGGAAATTGCACTCGAGGTGGGTATGCATGCAGCTCTAGAGTCTGTCCTGTTCACACAGGAGAAGACATAAGCCAAAAAAATTCCTTTCCATAAACCCACCCTGGACCTCCTCAGGATGAAAGTTTAGATGTATCACTAAAAGGCCCTCTAATCCTTTTTTGTCACCACATGGCAGTGTGTTTTTTTAACTCTGTTGTGTTAGTTAAATTCTTGATCAAAGCTCATCTTTGCCTTCATTATTGTTCCAGGGATAGTAAGTGTGGCATCTGTAGCTGGAATTGTGGGTTTCCTGTGGCTTCTTTTTCCAATGACTCGCCCAGAGTTGTATAACGATAGAACAGATAATTGCGTATGTTGGCAAGGATATTGTTCTGGGAACTAAGCCTGTGAAATCTTCAAAGTAAATAGGTTTGTTTAACCTAAAATCTTTTGTAGCATGATTCTGTATAACATGGATGTTGTTTCTTCAGCTATAAAAAAAGAAAAAGAAAAAATATATCATCAGCTCCTGGAGAGATAAATACGTAACAAACACTAATTGTTTAGCTTATCATTTTCTAGACTTGAAAAGAATTTCTCAACTTGTTCTATCTTTCTTGAATTCCAAATGATTGACTTTCTGAAGGTGGTATTGCAACTTTAGGCCTTTTCTTTTTTGAATTACTCTTCCTTGATTATTTTATGTTTGGACCACATTCTTTACCACAAAAAATAGTGAGATAGTGAGTTAATCTACATTGACATTCTACTCTTTTTTTGTATTATTTATTTTAATTTTTCTGGTTATACTGGTGTTTAGTGCTTAATGCTTACAAGAAACAACTTCCAAATGGTTTATTAGGGAAATTATTAGTTGCACTTTCATTTTTTCCTCATAACCTAAAAATATCTTAAAATTTTCTATGAAGCTTGCAATAAGATCAGGGAGGCTAGAATGAGGGGTTATAAAAAGGGGGTCCTTAATAGCCGCCCTATTCGTAGCAGAGTTATTATTGGACTGTTAGATTGAACCTCTTCATTGTAACCCCTCAACATAGTCCCTCGTTATAGAATTCTTGCATTATAGAAGCTCCCACGATAAGATTGCCCGACCCTTCATATAGATCTCAAGTGGTCTCTCTGTCCATCAAAGCTGGGCCCTGGATTGACTTGGGTATGACCGTACATAGTTGATCAATCAACAGTAGGTAGAACTGGTCCATCATCAACTAAATGCATAGCCCACAATCTAATAATCCACGGGCTACACACCAATGGCTCTCTTGGAAGTTAGCTCATAGATCTTGTTCATGGGCCCACTTTCTTTTTATTTTTTTAAATAATTATAAATAAATAAAATTGTCGGCATTCTTTACCTGTCATTGTTGCTGAAATTTGCCAACATTTGTGAGAAAAAAAATCCTAAATCCATTACTGTTAACACAAATTAAAACTAAAAACCACTTACTCGTAATCACAAAACAGAGGAAAATGCTAGGGAAAATCACTCACCCACCTTGCGTAACGGTCCTCAGAGGGAAGGAAGCACAAGCATATGCCCTTCATTGCTAGAACATCAACAACATAAAGCTTCCCCCTCCCAATGGTGCCCTAAACTTGTTTGAGAAACCTTGTAACCAGATTGTTAATGATCCCCTAAATGAGCCAAGAAATGCGATATGGCATGATTGTTGGCTTAGGCAGGTCAAAATATCATTGGAGGTTAGATGTATGGATGGATTATGGAATGTTCCATTAACAATGTTGAAACAATCAAATCTATTAAGCACTTTAGAGGTCTAATCGTTTGGGCCAACATCAAAGGGACCTTTATTTTCATACACCTTCTTCCAAATTCAAACGTCTTAGATATTGTTATGATGACCAAAATCTTAAGGATACGATGTCAAACAAGGTCAATGCTGATGACCAAAACCAACCCTATTTCATGGTTTTGGGGTTTTTTTTTTTTTTTTGTTTTCAATAAATTTGTGGGTCTGAATTTTTATGTATTGGCTATCATGACCATGGTGCTCCTTTCAACCTTGAAATTGATTTTGCTGAGTTGGTGATGTGGTAAGGTGTCATAGCCATAGGTAGGGTTTGTTAGACGCATTCAAGTTTTGATTAGACATTCTCTCTTTATGTTCTTCTTCTTCTGATAGATTTTGTTTTGTATGATGGTCAACTTAAAAGGATATACAGATGCCAACAGAGGACGAGACTTATGTCATTTCCATGACTTTGATATTTGATATTGTGGGTTACCACTTTTATTTATTTATTCATTTATTTTATTGTTTTTCAAACTTCATGAACCCATATTGACTTTCTATATGCTGAATCTTTTGAGGACGTTTCCTCTGATTGGATCCTCCCATCACCTCTCTTCTCTTCTCAGATAGCCACAGAATCTGCATGACAAGTTGTCAAATTAAAATATATATAATCCTTTCTGAAGAGAAAGAAAAACAATCTGTTCTATTCTATCAAACTAAGCCGTAAGGGGTAGGGTTTTAGCTGCTACGTTACTGGTGCTTCATGTTGCTTACTCTGTTTTTTTGCCGTATAAATTATAACCCTCATGTCAGAACCAGTTTGCCAATTAAGAAACTTGGCTCTGTACGCATGCATGATTACTTTCCCATGTGATTTACTGTTTGACCATCTATTTCTTCCATTTTCATGTGATTTTTTTTAAAGGATATTAAAGTGAGAATTAAAGGAGATGTTATCAGGTTTTTTGACAGCAAATAGCAGTACAAAAATGAGAACTGCTCATTTGAAACTTCTTACTTTTTAGTTTGGTTAACACTGCACTTTGATTTTGTGATAAAGTGGGGAAAGCTATCAGTTTATTTTTTCATTGAATTGGATTATGAAGCTCATGAGATAGATTGCATTATCTGATGTCTTGTGTATCAATTGGTGTAGAGCACTAGTTCCAATTTGGATACTCAGTTGAAACAGTTGTGAGAGAGAGAGAGAGAGAGAGAGAGAGAGAGAGAGATACAATAAATATTATATTTCTTTCTAGCAGATAGCTTGATACATCCTTGTAGACCAGAAATTTTTATATCCTAAACCCCCCATAAAAGAGAAAATAGCATAAGATAAGGAAATAGAAGAAGCAGAGGTATCCTTGGTACAAAGATACACTAACCACTTTTCCTCTATGTATCTAAAACTGGAACAACTACCACTTTTGACTAAAAAATATTACACAAAAAAAGCTAAGTCCTAGTGGGGTCATGATATTTCTATCCAGCTAGCTATATGTCTTAGTTGCTGGAACTAGAAGGATTTTGGGTGGAGCTGGAGCTGAGATTGAGGTCAGGAATATTGTTGTTTGCTGCTGCATTGGCTTTTGAGTTTGTCTTGGACAGCTTCTGCTTCAGCTCAGAAAGCAGAGCTTGATTCTCCTGGTTGAGAAGCTGTGCTTTCTTCCTCAGCCTCTCATTCTCTTTCATTATGTAGCAGTTCTGCAAGTACAGCTTTGAGTTCAGCCTTTCCATTGCTGTGAATTTTTTTTGGGTTTTCTGTGATGATGCTTCTGAAACCAAAACAACAAAAAGTATCAACACAAGAGTATCTCAGATAATATTTTTTTTTATTGTCATAAACATTTGTATATATTTAACACATGGAGACACAAACATTATACTATATTTTAAATCAATCTTAATATAAAAAAACAGAAAATAGAACAAAACATACAGAAATAAGAAGAAGAAAAATGCTTGTTTTTGAGTGCCTAGAGTTTTAACAAAATGAATGAAACAATAAACCTATTTGAATCCAAGAAGAACAGTTACCCCAAAAACAGATTACAATGTGCTTTCTGCACTGCTTTTACTGGAAGTACTTATGACAGTTTTACAAAAGAAGGTGATGACAACAGGGGAAAGCAGAGCAGGTGGTGGCCAAGAGCAACTTATTAACAAGTTTTGGACCACTATGGTAGATTTATATATATATTGTTTGCTAGGGAAGAAAAGAGAGATGGAATCATAAGTAGTCTAAAACTGCACTCAATGAAAAAATGGTCTCTTTCGGCTTCCCGTACATGAAAGAAAAGGATCAAAATCCTAAAATCAGATTCAAACTGCAGAGACTTCAACTTCTCTGTTTCATTAAAAGAGCATTCACAAATACAACTCTTGCCCTTTTGCACAATCAAGAAGATGGTATGATCAAAAGTTTTAATTTTTTTTTAAAGAATAAGAAAATGAAAATAGAAATATAAGTTCCACAGAGTGCCATGGAGTGTAGAGGGAGACAAACAAACCGTTTTTAAAAATAAAAAATAAAAAACAAATGTTGGAGAATCCAAGGTGTGAAACATTCTAAAGGCAGACATTCTCTCCTCAAAATGAGGTGTGGAACAGACAAAGAAGAAGAAACCAATAAAACCCAAATGTGAACTCACTCGTCTAGCAATTCTGATAAAAACCCAAGAAGGGCCTCTAGAACATGAAAAATAATCAAGAAAAATAAGAACAAGAAGAAGAGACAGAGACAGAGAGAAATATATATTTATATGTTTATATATAGAGATAGATAAAATGAATAAAGAAGTCACCTTTAGGAGGTGGCTGGTTAGAGAGAGAGAGAGAGAGAGCGCTTTGGGCCGAGGAAGCAATCTGGTTTGTAACAAGAAGTAGCAGTGGAAAAAGGAAGAAGTTGGTAGTGAGGGACAAAGGGAACAAAAGAAGGCCTTAATTTATAGAGCCAAACTACAAGAGAGAAAAAGAGCTTGTGAGAGAGAGAGAGAGAGAGAAGCTCATGAGGGAGGAGGGGACATGCCCCTCTCTCTCTGACACAACAATCATGCATGTGTAAGCATGGAAGGCGGCCGGTTAGGAGGCCTAAAAGATTTTAAGTGTTTTGGGTTTTCTCTTCTATGAATGATGATGAATATGGCGTCATGTGAATGATGATGGTTTTTTGGGTTTTGCAGCATAGAGAGAGAGAGAGAGAGAGAGAGAGAGAGAGAGCTAGGGGCATTTTGGTCATATAAAAATGGCATTATGGATATGAAGAAGGGACAATTATGGGACTTATGGCTAGGGCTTGTAAAATGATGGTGGGCTAGGCCGTCCCAAGATTCGCAATGATGGTTTGGATTGGGTTCTAAACCATCATCACCACCCCCTCCTCTCCCTCCACATCCCTCTCCTTCCATCATCAATTACTCTTTTGTTTTATTTATGCTCCTATTATTTTTGTCCCTCCATTTTCTTTTCTTTTTTCCCATTTTATTTCATTATCTATTTTCGTTTGTGTTCGGAACTGTTGGCAATAATAATAATAATAATAATAAATTTAAGCCATTATGGTTTTTTTCCCTTTCCTCCATTTTTGTCATTTTTTGTTCAAGAAATCTTACCTGCTATGTTGTATCTTTTGGGTCATATCAAAGATTGTATCATCCATATAGGGACAAATTTGGTATAAATCAATTTATTCATTTATGGTATTTTTTTTAATAATGTTATGTTCCTAGAGCTAGAGGAGTGTTTTTGTGAAAAACCCATTAACCCAAATATGAATCCAAGCTTAAAAAAAAGGTGGTTCCAACAAAAAAGAAAAAGGGGGTAGGGGATTAACTTATAGCAAAAGACTCGTAGGCCTTTGGTCCTATGAGTTATTTCCAACCCTAACACACACAAAAACAAAACAAAAAATTAAAAATCAAAATGACCATTTTGCCCCTGCTAGATAACTTGCACGTTTTGCACCATCAATGTTGTTTTGTTTTACGTTATTAGAATCATAATTATTAGGCCAAGGGTAGTAAAGGAGGGGTTTTTTTTTTTTTTGGTTGTCAAAATTAGGGGGTTGAGCTTGAAATAATGGTGAGGGAGGAGGGGGGGTAGGGGCCAAGCCAAGCCCTCATGGGTTATGAGTGGTTTAACGTGAAACATCATGGTTGACAGGTGGTGTTTTGGAAGGGTCTATGGGAGTAAGGGTATAATTGTCCATCTGGCTTTGTTGTCCCTCGTGGAGCTCGTTCATTTCACTCCTCATTTGCGGCTCTGCTTACATCAATCTAATTATGGGGTTCAATCCATGGGCTGGCAATGCTGGAAATGACCATTCTGACCTCAACGGTTTTCTTTTTCAATTTTATCAAACCTTATTGCGACAACGTTCCTCATAAAGTTAAATGTTTCGACTTTATAATTTCATATTTCGATTCCAGTATGATTACAACTAATGTCAAATTGATCCAAATGAGATTTTAGTAATACATGAAATAGTTCAATATTGGGTCAAGTTTGGGCCCAATGGACCTCACCAAGTTGGTATCAAACTTCGGGTTAATAGGGCAACGACACTTTTGCTTTTACTTACGACACGAACACTTAAGATACTCACCAAAAACTAAAGTGTTCGAGTCGAGCTTTATCATGTCAAGTTCATAACATGTTGACACAATAATAATACGATTCTTAACAAGTCGTATTGATGTTCATTCGCAAAACATGTTAGTGGCATGTTATGTTTGTGAAATACTAGGTTCTACCCTGTTGGCAAGATGAGTTTCTTGTAATTAGCCTCGCCTTCACTTTCTCTGTTCTTGGACACTTTCTACAAATTTTTTATTGATTCTTTTGCTCTTTCTTGCGGTGGTTGTAATTGAACCACCAACTGAGCTTTGATGAAAGTTAGATGAAGAAGGTGGCGGTTTTGGGCGTGAATTTCTCTGAACTCCTATGGTTGAACATGGGTGGGTGGTTTCTCATCATTTACCATTTGTTTGTTTGTTTGTTTTTTTTACGATAATAACCTTTATGGAATCATCCGATTGCTTAAATGTGTTATCTTTCCTTTTCTGTTTGAGAGGTATTTTTTGCTAAACGTTTTTCACGCATGCCTTTGGTACTTTTTTTTGGGCATTTGTTAGGTAATGTGTTGGACATAACTTCTTTTTTTTTGGGACGTTTGTTAAAAATCTACAAGATACCATTTAGAATCTCATGACGTATTATCTTAACATTCTCGTACCAGACAATTTAACATACTATGTTATTCAATTTTTAGTTAAAACATCTGATTTTGAATATGGCATTCTAGTTAACAAAATGTCATGGTTAGTTAATCCCTATTGATATTTGGGGTAAATTCGATTGATACTCCTTGATGTTTGATGCTATAAGTACGAAAGTTCCTTTTACTAATTTCTTCCCCTTGAGATCTTAAGCCATGTTTAAATATAAAAAATAAAATAAAACCCTTAAAACGTAGGATAATTTTTCCACATGTTACTGTACTATTAATCGAAAAGAGCAAAATAGTATTATCCTAATTACATGTAAGTTTTTTTTTGCCACGTGTGACATGCCAGGTCAAATCCATCCGTCATTCAAACTATGATCCGGTCAACTAAAACATAAGGGCAAAAGGGTGCTCTGTAGAGGTCTGCAAAGAGTGGACTCAATTTGACTAAGTGTGTAATGAATCCCAGCCTTATAAATCTTAGGTCTGAAACAACCAATGATGGCCATCCCCAACAATAATGGTTCTCTTCCCCTTTGTAATTATCCTTCCCTTCAATTCAAACCCATCTTAAATAACCATCTTACTTTTTGCAGCAAATTGGAGCCACCCTTTTAATACCAATTCAAAAAAAGAAATAAAAAAACCAACCAGAGAGGAAATTGAAGAACGGGGTTTCATGATTCAATTGGGTTAGAGTTTTGTTTGCTTTCATAAATGCCTTATGGCAGTGCTCAAGAGATTTTGCATGGTCACAGATAACAGGCATTCATGAACCCCCATCATCATGCACATTGCCTATAATTACCATTATGCACAGTGCCCTAATTTTACCCAAACAAAACTTATGATTGCCTCACCCCTGGTGAAATTTAGACAGCTGACCCCTGCAATTTGATTGGATGGCATTGATTTCTTTATTGTTGAGAAAAGCAAAATGCTAAACTATTCTAATGTACAGAGAAGGAGATTGAATCCATATAAGAGCTGTCTTGACTAACCAACATAACCCGCACTTGCGGATATGACATTGACTTAAGACACGTGAAAGGTTAGAGATTTTCATAATTTGCCCAAATTAATCCCTTTAATCATGGGTTGGTTTGTGTTCTTATCTGATCTACGGGTAATGGGAGTTGAGATTTAATTTGAAAGAGCTCATGGGGTTTCAGGGGAGGGCATATGACCTCATCAACATGGCAAAGCCTTTAAGACCAACTTTCTTCTTTATTTTCTGAGGTCGTTTTTAATGATTTCACATAATTCCAATTCCTGCATGGCTAATGATGAAATTCTACATTATTATGGTTAGTAAGTGCATTGAACCCTACACGTGAGCCAAGGAAGGGGTTTGATAATTTTAACTTTTAGGGTGGTAATTTGTTTTTTCTTTTATTTTGGGACCACACGTGTAAGAGAAGATCGTCGACAACCCTGTTTTTTTTTCTTTTCTGTCTTCTGGGTTCTGGCCTGAATCTATAGATCACTGATTGAATCCCCTAATGAGTTCACACGGTTATAGGATTATAGCCCCATAGGTGGGGACTAGAGTATTTGCAATCTGGATCTTGTTCCACCCATTCTCAGTTCTAATTGGATGCTTGTTACTTTGATGGATAACTTGTTGAAAAGCATTGTTTTATTTCTAGTTGAAACATGAATTAGAGATTGTGAATTTGATGTTAATTATATCTCTTGTAGGGGCGAAACTCGTAATCAGTAATGACAATGGGAGTGAGATTGTATTTTTTTTTTTTTTTTTTTTGGTTTGAACCACGAGGTGGTCCTGGATGGGCCCCAACTATGGGTGGCACCTTTAAGCCTTAACCACAACCTAGACTAATCCCCGCTCACACCGGGTCGGCCCGTAAGGGGTAAAGTGCTGGCCAAAGTGGTGACTCCATACGAGAGCAGGAGGAAAAGATTGTGTTTTTTTAATATAAAAAGAATGCACGAGAAATAAAAAAAACTCATTTTAAAGTGCAAATAACATCTCATAACATTTCAAATAAAATATTCCAAAGAGTCTCAGCCTCACCCTTATACCTCATAATCTTATATGAAAGAAGTTCCCTTCAATATAGAACACAAAATAGATTAAAGAGTACTCTTTAAAATTCTTAAAATAGACCATGTTATGTGAATGTGGAAGTCCTACATAACATAGTCTACTTTTAGCGTTTAGGCCCCAAAAACAATAGGACCAGCCCTCGTTAAACCCTCGTTTATCAGTGGATACCTACTTAGTGTAGGTTCCATTTTGGTGGAACCCACTTAGATAGGTGGATCTCACGTAGTTTCTATTTTTATGACCAAAATAGTTACGTTTAATCTCTAACCCAAAAAGCAATGAAAAGCAAAGCAAAAAAGGGTAACAGTAGTACCATTCAGTACTTCAGCAAAAATTTTGTCACCCAAAAGAAGATTAAATGGGAAAGGGTACATTCAAACTCCGGGAACCACCGAGAACTCAAATTGAGCGGGAAAGCGATTTGAGCTCGAAGTCAAGTGATTTGGAGTAGATGAAACGATATGTGCAAGTAAGCGTAGCGAATCACATAGACAAGGCCCTAGATGTCAGCGTGTAGAGATAAGACGAGCAAAGTTCGAAGAGAATGGATGTCTGAGCGGTTGAAAGAGTCGGTTTGGAAAGCATAAGTACTGATAGAAATACAGGGGTTCGAATCCTTCTCTATCCGCAGAGTCATACGTAATATGTTACGTTATCTATAGATAAGAACGTATCGGGAAAAAAAAGAAGAAGGAAGAAAATAAAGAACACTTGAGCTACAAAAATTCTCTCATATAGCAGAACAAAAATATAACATAAGTTCTCATCATATGAAATAGTTTCTCCAAATTATAAAGGCCTCTCTTTTCTTTTCTTT